GTATATATATTATATATATATAACGTTTATTCGTGCCACAGAGAGGGAGAGGGAGAGAGAGAGAGAGAGAGAGAGAGAGAGAGAGAGAGAGAGAGAGAGAGAGAGAGAGAGAGAGAGAGAGGATTTTGGTCGGATCTGAGATCCCGTCGTAGATCTGGTCCTGACCAGATCGCCGATCTGTTCTTAGTACTTCTTATGCAGATCTGAATACATTAACAGTTCTTGTTTGGCGCCATCTGGGGGGGCGTATGAATATGAATTAGAAAGTCTAACTTCAAAGTTGAAAGTTCTGTTTTTTCCTGATTTCGTACTCTTTTCTGAAGTGACTTGGGATTGGTCTGTTGAGAACTGGTTTCAAGTGTTGTGTGAGCCTTTGTGAACGTCTGTGACAGTATTGACTCTATTGACCTGTCAAGTTGTGAATAGTGGAAGACAGTAAGCTGTGGTTGATACCGATTATAAGTTATTACTTTTTTTTTTTTTTTTTTTTTTCGGTCCGGACATTTTTTTTGTGTCTGGTGTACCGGTCCGGATGGTCCGGGTCCGGTCTTGTCCGGTTGTCCGGTGCCTGTCCAGATTACTGGACGTCTGGACCAGTCCAGACAAATGTCTGGGCCTCGTTCCAGACATGTCTGGGTCCAGGTCCGCGGTTGCCATGACCCAAACCATATGGGGTGTCCATACTCCCCTTTGCCCCCCCATTTGCCCCCCCCGTTTGGCCCCCCCCTTTTAAGAGGGGAAAAAACAAACAGTAGTTGACCTGGCAAAGCAAATGGGCCATGTCTTTACTACACAAAGGAGGGGAAGTATCAGTCCACAACCCCTCAAGATACAAGGTAGAAAAATGGACCCAAAAAACAAAAACAAAAACAAAAAAAAGAAAGAGAACAAGAACGCTTGGTGGGACAAATTTGGCATGGAAAATTTGTCCCACCAAGCGTTCTTGTTCTCTTTCTTTTTTTTGTTTTGTTTTCGTTTTTTGGGTCCATTTTTCTACCTTGTATCTTGAGGGGTCGTGGACTGATACTTCCCCTCCTTTGTGTGGTAAAGACATGGCCCATTTGCTTTGCCAGGTCAACTACTGTTTGGTTTTTCCCCTCTTAAAAGGGGGGGGCAAAGGGGGGGGCATTTTTCCCTTCTTAAAAGGGGGGGGGCAAAGGGGGGGAGAACAAGAGTCAAAGACAAGGCTCTGCTGTTCTGCAATGGGTGGATCACGAATGAAGCGGGCCTCCCCTCGTCAACCACAGATAGTCATCTTGGGCGGAGAAAGGGGTCTCGAGAATAGACCATTTTCGAGGGATCAGAGGAAATTTTGTCAATCCGTGCAAGAAATAAGGGATTCACCCAAAGGCTGTCATTCCCTTGTGAACCACCTCACAGCAATGACTCAAAGCATCAGCTCAGCGTGCCATAAAACCTCTAACAGGAGGAATTCAGACAGAAGACAGGGGACTGGGGAGTCCTGATAACTGAACAGGTACCCACAATAACCTACCGCTGTGTCAAAAGGACCGTAGACCGAAGACGGTCGATATCAAGTGGAGGTTTACCTCCTACCTGTTGTCCTCGTGTTTGAACAACTCAACTAGACACCTTCCTCCTTAGGAAAGTGAGGGCATTGGGGAGTTCTCAACTCAACTAGACACTTTCCTCCTTAGGAAAGTGAGGGCATCCATCCAAATTCAAAACACGGTTACTGTTTGAGCCACACAAAAGCATTGACGACGTGGAATTCAACCCTGCCGTCTTCACCCGAATAGAACACCCGGTCATAATCGCTGTATGTGGACGGGAAGTTGCCCTGAATACAGTTATAATGACGGGTGTTCTATTCGGGTGAAGGCGACAGGGAATGGAGCTGGGAACAAAGGACCACAAGATTGAATGTGCCCGTTGCTGAGTATTCAGCGAAATTCTGCCACGAACAAGGAATGACGAAACGACCAAGCCCCAGAAATGGAAAAGAGAGAGACAGAAAAAAAAAAAAAAAGAGAGAGAGACAGAGATGTTGGAGCGTAGTCCAGACAGCCCCATGGAGATCCCATGGAAAGAATCTGAGAAACCTTAGACCAACAAAAGTATGCAGCCTCAAAAAAAAGCACAAAAAGTTGAAAAAAAACAAAAGTACACAATGTGCGGCCGCTGTGCTTTCCCCTGAACTTCTCTGGTGGAGTTTGCGCCTGGAGTAAGGGCCAGGAAAGAGACGGTGTTATGTTCAGGCAAGAAAGGCACAAACTCGGTCGTTATTACATCCAGGTTCATGCTTTCCAAGCATCGATATATCACTAGTGTGATCTGCACTTAATTCGCCTGCAATGAGGGGTAGCAATCAGAAAATGTGATTTCAAAGGAATACTTTTTACTTTATTCAGTGCTTGAGAAGTGAAGAAGCATGGTGTTCTCTCTCTCATACCGCTACCGCTTGGCTTTTCTTGCTGTGATTGTTCTTTTGCTTTTGTTTCCCTTCTTTTGGCTCTACATCCAAAAAGAATTCCTGGAGCTTGCAGTTCAGTTCGGCACCGTTACCATGTTTGCGAGTTCGTTCCCGCTTGTTGGCGTCTTGACTTTCTTGGTGAGTATCTTGATGTCTATTACATCGTGTATTCAACAAACTTCAAATGTGAGCTGTTCTGCAATCCATCTGCTAGAATTCTAGCCCTTCTTTGCAGTTTTCTCTTGACAGTGTATGTTCATGTCTGATCTCTCTCTCTCTCTCTCTCTCTCTCTCTCTCTCTCTCTCTCTCTCTCTTTCTCTCTCTCTCTCTGTGTGTGTCTGTCTCCCTCTCTCTCTCTCTCTCACACACACACACACACACACCACTCTCTCTGACACAGACACACATCTCTCTCTCTCACACATATCTCTTTCTCTCTCT